TAAAATATTTTAACTGCTGGGCGTGAGTTCCAAGTGTGAAAAATTGAGGTCACTGAGTAGGGTCTGGGGCAAGCGACCTTTGGAATTTTTTCCATGTGGTAAACCTGCAAATCAAACGGCAAACTACAAACTGCTGTTTAGCCAAGGAATGTATATTTAGAGGACTCTGGAATTTCTTTTTAGTGCAGCTCAAAGGTGCCGTCGTTGAGTAAGGGGCTGTTTACACGAGCCCTATAAGGAGGGATAATCCTAAAAAGCAAGATCTTTAGAGGAGGGCTAGCCCCACCAGCTGAGATCTCGCTGTTGTTTACCCGAGACCTCGCCAAGTAGTGCTGGAAATTCTCCATGTAAACGAAAGAGGCAGGGCTAGCCCTCCCTGTAGGGCTCAAAATTTAACGAATTTGCTTATGACAAGGCATTGCTTTTTAGCAATAGCGGCAAGAAATGGCATCAACGAGAGCTTACACACAAAGAAAGCGTAAATAAGTAAAAAGCAATAACTAGTTTGGTTTGTTTTCATCCATTTTGTATTTTAGCGCCCAAACTCGCTGCTCAAGTTGAGCTCTTGATGTAGGGCTAGAATTTGCACCGAAAACAAAGGTAAAATATGGAGGGCTAGCCCTTCCTGAAAAGGTCATAAACAGCCCCTTGCTCAGCATCTTTAACCTCTTCTAGCGAAAGAACTTCACATCGGACCACATGAAACCCAACTTGCCTGACCGGCCACCTTAATAGTAAATGAAATGCAAATCAACAACAACACTGATGAAAGGACTCCTTTATTTTTTATTTTTAGCCAGAAAGATACTCACGTCCTCCTCAAAATATATCCAGTCCAACCCAATGCTGACCAGTTTAACTTTACCAAAGTACCAAAAAAAGAGGTTTGTGATCATTTTATTTATGTGAGAAATTTCTATTGGGTAGGGGATCTATTTGCTTGTCATTTTTATTTCAACGGAGAAACACGACTCCCTTTCATTAGATTAGTTTGCTGATTGCATAGCATCTGTAAATGGAAATATGATTGGAGATTAAACCAGACTTACCTGTAAGTTGAAGTTTGATGAAATTCTACCAAGTCATTTGCCGCAAGGAGATCACGTGAGAAGCACGCCTTTGGCTTCGAGTTCAGTGTTTAAAGCCGAGTAAAATCTTTTACTCTGTAGTGTGGGACAGGAACAGCAGATGAGCGGGAGGGATGTGATCTCGTCCTTGCGTCAAATGCTGTGGTAGAATTTTCATCAAACTTCAACTTACAGGGTAGTGCATCTACCATTTGGCGTGTGAGTAGAATTCCAACGACAGCACCCCAGCCTTTAAGTGAACTGTCACACTTTAAGGTAATTACACTTGGGAAAACTATGGTCCTTGTCAACATGAAAAGCCACCAGTGAATGTCAACTTATGCCTTGAGAGGCGATAACCATTATTTTATCAAAGTTTTCCCCCATCACTTTTAAGCATGTCAGTTTTTTTATTTTCAAGTGTTCTGTAATACAAAGGCCCATATCTAACTCCTGAAAAACTGTAAAGCATTAGGCCAACCACTAATACATCTCAAACTTTTGGCTGGTCCTGATGAACTAAAATTAGAATGGCTGATTTTACTTTGTTGGCATTTGCATCCTTCATATTTACAATCATGGCCACAATATCGAGCATAAATCCGAGGAAGACAGCCCTTTGATTGGGTATTAGCATAGACTTATCAGTATGTATTGTAAAACCCAAAGACTTCAATAATCCAGTAGACTTATGGATGTGATCTAGGAGGGTTGTACGGCTGTCAGCTATTAAGATGATATCATCTATATAGCCAAATAGCAGAATGCCTTCACCTCTTATTTTTTAAAAAACAGGTTTTAAAATTTAGTAAATACTATTGGAGCACTTGATTGGCCATTTGGAAGGGTTAAAACTCATATAACTTGCCATTGTGTTGGAATCGCAAGTATTTCCTGTGCTTTTTACAAACGGACACAGAATAATAGGCATGCTTAAGATCATTTACAGCTAGCCAAGAGTTAGGCTTGTTTAAATAAAGGACATTCTATAAGGTTTCCATTTTAAAGTGGTGATAAGCAATGTGTTTATTTAGGTTTTTAAATTTAGGGCCAGCATGTGTGCACCATCTCTTTCGGACGAGCAAAAATGTTAGATATAAATGCCCTGGGCAACAAGTTGTTTCAACAACAACTCTCTTATTCAAAAGTTTCATTATTTCATTATAAATATTTTTTAGCTCTTCACAAACGAAATTTGTTAGTTTGGGTTTCAAGGTTTCTAGATGGTTAGATATATTGCCTGCTATAAATTGCACACTATCTGTAGAGGACAGGGGTATACTTAACACTTCATTTTCTATTGATGAAGACATTATGTTTCAAATTGGTTCGGTTTTTCTCTTCCCTGTTCGTTTTTCCAATGTTTGTTGGCACTAATGCCTTAAAATTTATTTACTGTCTGCTCCAGATCTGCCGAAAACGCGAGCTGTATTTACTGTAATGAGCTTGCTGCTCTTCCATCAGACAGATTGAGGGAGATAGTTGCATCAATCTTGAAATTCAAGAAAAACAAAACAGCAAGTATTGCTTTTAAGGTGAATGTTTTAAAAGTTAGGCCGGTAAGAAGGCTTTTCTGGAACGAGAGTAACGAAGCAAGAAAAAGTTAAATGGTACATTAAAGAAATATTTTTAAATGGTCTGTCCTTTCTGACCCATAGTGAGACATAGTAGCATGGGAGTTCATGTAAGTTCTTTTGTATCTTGGGAACATGGTCAAATGTTTTCAAATAATCCAAAACTACCTTGACGTCCCAAATTTTGGAATACCTGGACAAAGACGGTTTCAGCTCAAAACACCTTTCATGCATCGTCACACCAATGAATGTTTACCGACTTTAAACTGTCTATACAGGCCAGTACTGTAGTTCCGAGGGCAGTTTTACGTTACTATAGTCATTTCCTGCAGCATACATTGAGCCAAAAATTCAATAGAGTGTTTGAGTCCCCGTTGAAAAACGTGGCGTAGGAATACACCCAAGATATATGGTCTTGTTTCGTAATAAACTTTGTTATTATTTCTTTCCTTAGTTGTTTTTCACTTCCTCTTCTAAAATGGGGAACTCGTGTGTATGAAATTTTGAAGAAGCAACTTTGCTGGGCTGGTGGCTCTATGCATTCGATGTCTATACCTCGAACATTTTAAAGAATTTCCTTGTCGCGGTTACTGATGCTAGTATTTGTGCTTATATTGATACTGGTATTTGTTCTAAGGCAATAATGGCGATGAATCATAGTAGTTGTTGATGGAACTGTTTACTTTGCAGAGCGCTATTGGTATGATAACATGACAGAATATGCTTGTGAAAAATTCAAAACTGTTGCATTAGAATCAAGGCATTACGACCAATTAAGAAAAGACATAATTTTATTACTTTCACCATAAATTTTTTGCTCAGATGGTTGTTGATGATAGAGGTATCTGTGGCTGGAAAGTTCAGTCATTCACAATCTTTTCAATACATAACATCTCTGTTCTTGTTAGTGAGCTCAATACACTGACATCAGGGGAAATAAATTCCATGAGTTATGTTAAATACGACATGCTTTGACGAAATTTCACGAGTTTTTTGGTTTTGTTTGGATCAACTTCGGGTATGAAAATCTGACTCTAGAGAGAAACAATGTCACTCTCTCTGTTGCTCCGCTAGTCGTTGCCTTGCAGATAACATACACTATACATGCTATTCTAAGAACTTCCTCTTTCTAGGGTTGGAGGACTACTTAGTGAATATTAAGGTTGAAATTGGTGTACAATAGTTTAATGCCAAATTTATTTATACTGTTGTAATAAAGTAGACACTTTGTCTGGGTCAACATCAAATTCCTCATATAACAACGTCGCTATATGAAAATTTGAAACTTTTAAAACAGTTCTTTTAGAACTACTGGTTTTAGAGTTCTGGTTTTAAATGGTTCTTTTATGGGCTATTTGGTTATTGTTTTTGTTATTTAACCTACTATTTGCGATTTTTTTTAACTTTTTCATTAATACTTCACGTACTGTGTGTACGTGTGTTTTCGACAAAGATTTCAAAACGTAGTAGTTATCATTCTGCATTCTTCATTTAATCATTGATACTAAATTGCTCTATTCTTACATTTAATTATAAAGTATGTCACTATGTATGTGTTTCACTATAATAAATAGCTGTATAATTACCATTGACGGATTTACTATGAGGAAGGTGCAGGGGGCTCCACCCCCAAACAGCAGATTGACTTATAATATATACCAACAAACTTTCCCCCCCCCCCATTTTTTGCCAAACAAGTCACTAGTACGGTTGAACTTCTTGTTTTTGTACTGAAAATTTCAAGTTTCTACACAACCTTTGATAATTGCACCACCTGACCGCCATCGATTCTACACTCTTACAACGTCTTTCGTCAATTATTTACCAGGTCACCCCTCCCCCCGCCCCAAATCAAAACTTTTATGTTTTCCCCTGTAAAAAATATACAAATCCGTCCGTGATAACTACAATACATATGCACTTCATGGCAAAGTTCTTTACAAAGACTTGACAGTTATAGTACAAATCGTTCTACATTTTAATTGAATTATATGAAAATATTTATATTATATTTCAAAAAATATAGGATAAAACACACGTCTTTGAATAAAGATATCTTTTAAACCATCTCTAAATATCGTTGTCAAGACCAGACTTTCGTTTTGACTATGATTATGAAAAAGGGTCGAAAACCCAACATGTCACCAATGGAAAAGTTAAATCTTGTTATTGTTTTTTCCATTTAACTCATATATATTAAGTGCAAGATGTCTTTTATTCATCGGAGTATGTTTAATTTACATTATTTTATTCTCAACTATGTTATCGCAAAGCAAAAGAGAACTAATATTTTTCCAATTGCGGTCGCTTCAACCTTTCCTCGTGTCAATCTTTCCTTGGCATGCCCTTACCAGGGCGTAAAGCACGATGATGATGGTGGCGATTCTTTAGGACCTTATTTATTACGTGATGATTTTCTCAATCCATCGTTGAACCTTTCTTACATTGGTGTACAAGCCGTATTTGTGTGGCTGTGCGCATGACTGACGCCAACTGACTATGCCAGCCAATCCCCAAGCGCCGCCCTTCATTGGACATGTCAGCGGTCCTCCCGTGTCGAAATGACAAGCATCAATTCCACCCTCCTTAAATCCAGCACATAAAGCGATCGTTGATGGTACCATTATATGATCTAGGTCAAAATTACTTTTTGTGAGTTAAAAGATCGTGGTTCCTCTCAGATTTTATTCTAGAAGCGGTTTCTATTTATTTCTGCAAACGATGTATTTATTTTTGCTTTTTCCCTTGTTTAGTTTTCAGCAAACATATTTACAATGAACAACATGAAAATATAAAAACGAAGCTAATTACTACGTAGTGGAACGGCCTGCAGATTTTGCCCGAAACAAGGTATCGTACTCCGTCACTCAGTCTGAACGCGCTATTATAGAAACACAAGAGAAAGTTTGAAGATACGAAAACTGCTTTGCAAGCACGATTTCGTAGTGCTAGTGTTTCCAAGAATTTTCGAGTTTCTCCTCAACTTTACAAGTTGCTATAACTCTAAAAAAAGTAAATATGTTTTCTATCATTTGTAAAATAGACTTCAAAAAACAATATTTAAAAGATAAATTTATTGATTTTAATGGCATGTTGTTTATATTTTCGCCATTAAAATTTCCTGCAAAAACCACGCAACCAGCGAGATTCCTGCGCGACTAAAGTTCTCGTTTATCGTAGAGTAATACAACACTGTTTTTTTGACGCCTGTGTTTTTAAAGGTCATCTTGTCAATTAATATGGTAGGCACTCTTTCTGTGTCTACTTCACCAATGTGTCTACTTAAAGTACTTATGACACGATTTCTACATTATTTTTATATCAAATAAAAACTCCCTTGAAACGAAAATGATCTTTCTTTTCAACATTAATGCCCATTTTATGAGCACATGAATTACGATGAAACTTGCTTACTTTTCTCCATTACACTTATCCAGAGGTACAAGATCGACGTAGGCTTCACGTAAGACTTTTGATAAGGAACCACTATTGGAAGTACGTCCCCAACCAGTGATGGAGCATCTTTTGTATAAAACCTTTTTTCCCGGTAGACAGAGTGGCATAATATCTCTGGGTATTCTAGCCGAACTTGACATTTGCAGTATAGCTGAAAGAAAGAAAATCTCCAATTTCTAAGTTTAATCGTATACTATACTGTCTATTATCTTTATGAGAGATATTCTCTTGAAACGTAAATCCTCCACTCTACTGTCTTCATCAAGAATGGCCTGATGTTAAACTTGAGTTCTTATATACTCCAGTCTAGTGTCTTTCTCAAGAGGGATTTGATGTTGAAACTTGAGTGCTTATATACCCAGTCTAGTGTCTTCATCAGGAGTGATGTGATGTTGAAACTTGAGTTCTTATATACTCCAGTCTAGTTTTCATCAGGAGTGATCTGATGTTAAGACTTGAGTCTTTATATACTCCAGTCTAGTGTCTTCATCAGGAGTGATCTGATGTGAAGGTTTGAGTCCTTTTATACTTGAGTCTAGTGTCTTTATCAGGAGTGATGTGATGTTGAAAATTGAGTTCTTATATACTCCAGTCTAGTGTCTTCATCAGAAGTGATCTAATGTTAAGACTTGAGTCTTTGTATACTCCAGTCTAGTGTCTTCATCAGGAGTGAACTGATGTTGAAACTTGAGTTCTTATATACTCCAGTGTAGTTTCTTCATCAGGAGTGATCTAATGTTGAGACTTGAGTCTTTATATACTCCAGTCTAGTGTCTTCATCAGAATGATTTGATGTGAAGGTTTGAGTCCTTATATACTCCAGTCTAGTGTCTTCATCAGGAGTGATCTGATGTTGAAACTTGAGTTATTATGTACTCCAGTTTAGTGTCTTCATCAGAAATGCTATTTTCTAGTTTTAAAGTCATTTCATAAAACCATGCATCTATTTTCATCATTTACCGATATCGTAATCTCCAGGATGTGTTTCTTTTCCTGGTTGATACTTCGGATGAATGTGTATTGCTTCAATTCCTATCTTGGTGTTGCTGCTGGAGTTTAGTTCATGTGCTCCCAGTATTACCGTCCATTCCTTGATGCACTTTGTGTAGTTGTCTGCATAAACAGAGAATTGCATTTTTGAAGCATATCTATTTGTAGCTAATTTATTAAACATGCTTCAGATTGATTCGAAATCAAAATCAATATGCAGTGGTCGTTAAACGTTTAGCAATATTCTGGCCTGCTCTTTGCTAGTCTAACATTGCATGCCCAACAAATAGTTTTGATACGATAAGAGCAATGTGGAAGACGACTTCATTCATACATCGTTATAAAGAGGGCATGTCACATTGCATTAGGCAAATAAAAATGTATCTATACTCGCTCACTGCAAAAAATGGATTTCTACAAAGAAATGAGTATCGATAATGCTCGAAAAGCAAGACTAAACCCAGAAAGCCTTCTGCGTTGTTGCTTTATACTTTTCCTGATTAGATTTTGTGGTTTTTTTAAACTCGACCATTAAAATATACAGTTAATTTGAGTAATTTACTGTAATAACTTTATCCTTAGCTCTTCATGAGAGTTTTATTTTAAGTCTTGTTCCTTACCAAAGCAGCTAGCTGCCGTGACGAGCCAGTTTTTTTGCACTAACGTTGCACCGCATATGTGACCTCGGTGTTTGGAGCGAATCATTGCCTGCCATGGCCATGTACCTGGGCTCGACTCTCGTCCGCCGACGATGCGACGCATACGTGACGGTCCCTTCCTGAATCTTTTCCCACAAGTGTCTACAAAGCAAACGTGGATTAATATAATTAAAAATTAACGTAAATAATTAACTTAATTTTTTTCCTGGGATTTTTCTGATTTTTTCGAAGTGATAAGTATTAAAGAACAAGATGTTTATGTTTATCGCTATTGTCTGAATGACGCAGTCGGAAACCATACATGTGAGGTACTTTGTGCATTTTGATTGGTTGTGAACGTGTTGTAGTTTTCAACGCAGGTTGATATTAAAATTGTTTTTTGTTGTGTCGGAGACTCAGAGGTGGACTTAATTTGGCTATATTATGTTAAGAAAATTCCGTATTAAACCCTGCGATGTATGTAACAATTACACGCGTCAAGTAATCATCACATTCGTTTTGCTCTACGTTTCTTATTTTACTTTGGTATTAAATAAGAATCGCACTGCCTCTATACCACTGATCTCGAAATAAGACCGGATCAAGCATCTAGCACAAAATTGAAAACAAAAATTAAGGAACGCTGCCATTACTAAGGGACCAACTCGCGAAAATAAGGAGCAAATGTATTGTGGATTTGTACGTGAATAATCCTGAAAGTTCAACATGTAACTACATGAAGATAACTAAGAGATAAATCAGTTTATAGAAAAGCTAAAAATATGATGAAATATGATGAATTATATTTAAAATGCCGCGATTTTTGTCGTCGGTAACTCTACTGTGGTATGGAAAAACTATGGAAAATAGCTCACAACTGCATGGAAATACCTGGAATTGTTGGAATCATATTTCAGAAGTACAAACTGATTAAATAATCTCATTTACGATCATAATCTGATCAATCCTTTAAAATTACAAGCCTTTTACGAGTGATTCAGAATGAAACCTACATGCATTTTTCCTTTATACGGCTTATTATTCCTTCTGAATCGCTTTACTATCGCCACAAAGGTTGTTTTTCACTTTCTGCATTATTTCAAAGCATAATTTGGCCATATGTTGCTATGTTGTCCATAGTTTTGTCAAAAAGCTTTGGATGTGTTGGTCTATTAGTAAAGGGGGCGGTGGCTTTAAAATATATTTACTACAAAAATACAGTTGCTTTGTCCAGTTTTTTTGAGATCAGTGCTTTATACCAATCAGAATTGAGAAATTATTCATGTATTTATTATTTGACTGTCAATTAAAAAATTGGTGGAGAGCCCAGATCCGAAGTCATGTTAGAACATGCTAAACACTATATTTTTCTTGTAATATCTCAAAAGCGTGTGTACCACAGCTTCTTCGAAGGAATTTGCATCTGTCTCATGCATATCAAATTTCTCCGTACGAAAAATTGAGTGAACAGTCAATCTACTCCGTACAAACTGAGCATTTCTCCAAGGAAAACGACTTGCTCCACATAAATGTCAAGCTTCTGCATGTTCAAATGTAATATCTTCTAAGCTACGAGCACACAGCAAACCTCTTCTACATGCTAAAATTATATTCCCCTGTAAAACGAAGTTGCGGGACGCTCTTGCCCCACAAAACTAATACACGTACACACAATCATTGTCAGGGCCTAACTGCTTTTAATTTGTCTACTGTAGTTTGCCGATCACGGTAACCGGCTTAAAAGGACTATATCACCATCAGGAGAATAATCTATTTAGATAGTTTATTATTTTAAATATATTTGCAATATATTTTATGAGACGAAAATTTGATCCTCCTTGACTTTAATAACGTCAAAGTTCGTTTTTCGTGTTTGACAGTGTGGTGCTGTGACTGGGTCTAGTTCATCAAACGTGAGGTACATTGGGAGCACGCTGCTTTTACGCAGTAAAATCACAGAGTGATTCATTAACAAAGTGCGCAATATAACTTAAGTTCAGGAAAAATATATTTCTTGACTTTTCTACAAATTTCAATATGAATATCAGCGTTAAAAAAGCGGGTTGTCCAATGTTCGTCATGTCCGGTAAACTAGACCCAGTCACAACACCTTAGGGTAAAGACGAAAAAAGCCAATTTTGACGCCCGAAAAGTCAAGGACGATCAAAAATATATTGTAAATGTTCTGAAAATGGTCAACTCTATCAAAATAGATTTTTCTCTGAGGGTAATATAGGCACTTTAAGTAAACTGCTAAAATGATCAATTGCGAAAATCATACTGTCTATATACAATTGATCATTACTATCTCCTTGATCACGGAAAGAAACATAAAATTTTGACATTAAATACTTTTTTTTCAAAGTTCGGACAAAAGTTGCTAATCATGGTGTTGTAGTTGTTTTGCGTTCAGTTACCCCCTTCTTAGAGTCCTGTATTAGGAGAGTTGAGACAACGTCTAAGTAAAATTGCTTAGCGTCCGCCATTTTTGTTCTAAACGCCAGCAAATATAAAGCATTTAATGGTGGAAAGACAAATTTTCTGTTGTGTTTTCCTATTCATGAATAGACAGTGACCTCTACCTTTAAAACTCGGTTGTTTATAGATGTCATAATGATAGAAAAGCATTTATTTAATGCAGTGGATGTAATTGTACGCCTTTAACACTGTTTTTTGCCACAAGGGAGGGCGTGTGTTTCTCTTCATCATCGCTATGATTGGAACTATTATAACACAACATAAAATCATTGAAAACATTTTTTTATAATTTATCTCCTATGTAAAAAAGTTAGCATGGCGGCTAAACAAAAATGGCGGCTAGATGCCCAATTGACCATATCTACCCAATCACCTTGATCATAATGCAAAATGCATAGAATAATACGTGTTCCAACTCTTACAAATACAGGGCTTTGTCCCTTCCCCGTGACCACGACTCTGCACTGGTGTTAGTTTTGTCGAGTGGAGGTGTGTTTATATAGAGAAAGATAATTTTAGCATAGAGAAGACACTGGCATTTCAACACGCCGAAGGTTAACATTTTTGTGGAGCATGTCGTTTTCCATTGAGCAACGTAATGTTTGTACAATGGTTTGTACAGAGAACAGTCAGATTTGTTTGGAGAAACTTGATCTGCATGAAGTACATGCAAATTTCTACCGAGAAGCTGTGGCATATACGGGCCAACTTAATTACAAAAGCACAATGTTTCGTCGCATTACACATGTAAATAGTCTATGTATAAAAAATCTATTTATTAAAAAATTATACAACTTCTATGATGTGAATTTACAAACAACATTAGTTTCCAGCTTTTTATGCCGGGCAGCAAATAATACTGTCAATCTGTGTTAAGCGACACATAATTAAGCAGTCACTTTAATTTATTTCATTGTGTAAGCAATGCGTAAGCTAAAGTTAAAGACAAAAGAAAATGTGATGAAATTCCATGTTATATTTTGTTTTAAATGCAGATTATTCAGATTTTCCTATGAATTCCATGTTATATTTTGTTTTAAATGCCTGAAATTCAGATTTTCCTATGTTGTCACGAGATACATAAAGCACACGTAACTAACACAAAGTCCTTTAACCAATCAAAATGTTTCTTAAAGCGTTGCACGCGTGACATGATTTACTTACATAATACATTGCTGAATGTGAAATTGCATTATGCGAATTTCATTGTGCTTTTTGCCAACTATTTTATACTGCACAAATACAGCCAAGCAGTATTCACGAGTAGACTGAGTGAAGGCCTGATGGGCGTTTGATTTTATAACAAATTTGAGTAGCATAAACTCACCTAAATAGCACTCGGAAGTTTGTTGCGAACTTTAGTCCCAGGAATTTTCTTTCCATTCATTCCAACGCACCAACATTTCGTTTTGTATACATTACATTGTTCGAGTTGAAAATCCCCATCTCTGGTGCAGTTCGGAATCATCATTGAGGACGGACCTGACGAAGTCTTCTTTCTCGTAATTTCTCGCATTTTGTCAAATACTTTACGGCTGTTCGAAAAATGCTATTAGGCTAAGTTTGCATTTTACAGTTACGCCAAGCAGGGTGCATTTTCCTCTTCCTGACTCAAAGAAAAACATGGAAAGAGGGGCTGTTGCAGCCAGTGGCTATTTGTAGTCAGTTGCTTTTAAAAGTGGTGGTTTGCCGCTATCTTAAGTATTAATTATTAAAGGTTACCAAGTTACAGAGAAAACTCAAAATAGATGACTAACAAAACAATAAATAATTATTATTCTGTCCAAACCGTTTATTGAGAACTGCACCATATTCCAAACAATTTTTCCCGTGACTTTATAGGCCTGTCTGCCTCTGTGGCTAAAGTCATATGACAGCTGAATTTGGGTATTTTGCATTTAAGACTCTTTGGGTAACCATCGATTGAACCTGCTGTTTCTTGCGAAGAGAAAGTCAACAAGACATCGGTGTTTATTGCAAAAAATCGAAAAAGTCGACATTTGATCATATTGACCGGTAAAACCAATTGCTTCCTTCTTTGCACTTCACTTGACTCCAATTCGACAATCTTACTTTTGATGATCATATTCAGTCAGGTTTACTTATAAATGTCGTCTTTATGACGTTATTACAGTTCAAAGAAGGAAGCAAATTGTTTTACCGATCAATGTTGATGAAATTTCAACACAAATATGCAACGTCAAGCGAAAGAAAATATCTTTTCGATTTTTCAATAAACACCGAGTTCAATCAATTGTCAACCCGTCAGAGAAAATTGAAAACTACACTCACGTGTCTACGATAAAATCTCGACTTCTATTAGGCTTTTCTAATGCAATTAGCTTTTTTTTTACTTTAGTTTTAGCCGCCTTTCAAGATGGCAGCTTGCCTGAGTCGTTGTTACTAGCATTTTGACGGAGTTATGCTTCTACTAGATTGGGTTGTAAAGTCAGTTTTCTGGTCCGCTCTTTCCCGAATTTTTCGAATTCAAAAATGCGCTGATACTCAACGACGTCACCTAGCATGGCGAGGAAATTTGAAAGCTGTTCAGCAAGACGAAAATTTGAGTTCGAATGATTTCCACTTTTTCGCTGCAAAAATTTGCTAGCTAATCAGATTTAAGTAAGTCTGATTTGTTGACGTTTTTTTTATCCTATTTAGTTTTCGAGGTATTTGCTTGTAAAAAGAATTTTCATACCATCTGACCACTCTATATACACCACTGCGAACCGACCATTTTGACTAAGAAGTTTCTAGACCAATTAGAAAACAAACCATGCATATGAAAACATTTCCCCGGTCATAAAAATTAAGCTCTCTCAAGAGAAGACGGAAATTCTTCTTTCAGAGCCCGTTCCACATATAAACAACGTATGGTGAACCGTTCCTTGTACTAGCTTCTTTGTTCTGGTCGTCGTTACAGTAACAATAGTTATAACATGCCATTTTGAAGCAGTAGCAGTTGTCTAGCTAGTGTTTGATACAGACATTTTGTATTAGTTTGTTCGTGATTTTCATGTTTATTATTACATGTGGAAGACAAATACTCATTTTCACGAATATTTTCATATCAAAATTTATCGCTTTGCGAGAAAAGTTCTCTAATTGAAGTCAGGCTTAAGTCATTTGTTGACCTTGTTGTTTTAATTAGGTTATTCTCTTCCAAAAGCAACAATTGCTATGCAGGATGTTTACTTGAGAAAAATATACAGTGAGAAAGAGCCCTTACTGATATTGGCATTTCCTGTCTTTACCATCAACGGGTTTGTTTCGACGATTTCTTTATTTGACGCCCTTATTTTATATCGAATTGTTCTCTTTGTATTGTTTGTCATTTGCTGTTGTGTTAGCGTCATTGACTTTTTTCTCGTGCTGCTATACGTGCTGATTACGTGGGTGTATCTGTTTTTACCAATAGGCTTGCCGTTCTTGTCTACGTACCAACAAGTTACTGTGGTGGGCTGGTAGCGACACTGTTTTCTAGCAAACGTTCCGTCTAGGTCACATGTTGGAATGTAAATAGTTTTATCCGAGTTGGGTCGTCTTACGATCTCATCCCGAATGATTTCACATTTCCCACGAGCTTGGCCTGTTTTAATGGAAATAAGTTGAATCGTACTAGTATTCTTATTCTTATTAATTAGACAGCGAACGGCAAAAAAAACATGGCTTCCGTTTGTGTTGTAATCAGGTTTCAGAACTTTATTGTTTATTTCAGAAAACAATTCTAGAGAAGACAAAAGATACCATTAAATACAACTTTAATATATTTAAAGGTGAATAAACCAAAATTATATTAAAATAACCAAATCTTGTGGGAGAGTCATTCACTTTTATTGTCAACAACAGTAATTGCATAAAATACGAATTAAGGAAAATATATATCGACTCCATTTTAGATGAAATGATTACAAACATTTTGCTTCATGCATCAAATTCAAGCATAATAATATACATGATAAAATTATTAATTCTGAATGGTTTTGAACGGTGTAAATTTTAGTAAAATGCTCCTGACTGGTTAGTCAAAGAAGGAAGTAATCATAAGTGCCAATCAAATTTCAAAGTGGAATTCTTGTGAAGAAAAACAGCTACAATGGTTGGCAGAAATTAGCATATGCAAAACATTTCCAGCCAAGAAAACAATTAACGCTAACACTCCTTGCCGTCTTCAAAACTGTGGCTGGTGTTTTATCCATAATTGCTCTCAAAAGCTATAGCTACTATACCTTATCTAATTTTGAGCTTAATGAGTCTGATTAAGTGATTGATTTTTTAATTTATTTTATGTAGCGCAATGATTTGCAATAACGGCTTAAGACTGTTTGCAAGTTTTTTAAAATCATACCAGAAATTGGTCGAAAACTGAGGTTTGTGAAGCCATGGGTGTCTGTGAGTCTGGACGCTGACAATTTTGAATGTGGTGTCCTTTTAAGAAAGTGCAACCTCAAATTTGTGTTCTTGCATAAACTTTTATGATATGCATGCTTTGTTTGGTCTCATATTTCCTCAGTAGCAACAAGTTGAAACAACATGAAATAAAACGAAAATTTTATTGAGAGTGACCCTGTTTTATGAAAATTATTGTATCAAAAGTTTTGCGTCATATTACTTAACCCTTTCTACTTTATATTATAAAACAAAAACAATTAAACGCCTGCGCTGATTGATCACTGAGCTTTCATCACAAACCGATCTGAACTCGATCAACTAAATCAAATCTAAAGAATTTGCAAATATATTACAAATACATATTGAAGAAAATTAAAACAAGTGTTTCGAATTGCTGTTATTTTTATAAAACAAATAAAAGATCTTATTCGTGTTTACACTTGCTTATGCAAACATCGTAGACGTTTGTGAGAGCTCTTGAGCAGATCAATGGTCTCCCCTGTTTGCGTAAGACCCAGTGCAAACAGTGTAAGCATCTCTTATTTCTTAACTGAAGATGGCATTTTCTCATAATCACAACATTTAGCTCTCAAAGATGAAGTATATTTAAACGAATATTAAGATAAATAATTTTACCATATTTCACAGAAGCAAATATGCATAAAACGAAAAGAGGATGAAAAATTTTTCCAGCTAAAATTTTGTTTTTTTATGAAAAATAAACACCTAAAAGTCGGTACGAAAATCCAAGACAAAGAACACAGTCACAATTTTTGGTACATGTCCTATACCCGGATCATTTATACATAATTGCATTTCATTCTTCTTTATCCTCTGCCGTTAGCTCGGACACGTCTGGCATCATTTGGTTGGAGGGTTAAGGTATAATATAAGGTTATGCAATTGTGCTCGATGAACAAAGACGGCAGTTAACAGCTGTTAAGTGGTTGCGAGCAACGGTCGATTGTTTTTTGTATTGTACTATTTTTAACTATTATGGGGCAGTTGCTGGAAACACTTCAGCAGGGTAACCAGGACTATAGATTTATAGTACATCAACCGCCTGGGAGTCGTCGTGCGCGACGAGGCTTACGACATTCTTGTACAATAGGGGTATCAGCACACGTAGGGTTTTCATATTGATCAACAACCAAGCCGTCAAGTGGTGGTTTGGCCACTATTTCTTCTTTTTGTACTAGGTCATGTGTAAGTGGAGAGTTAGGAGCATTTTCATGGACAGATCAGTTCCCAGTACTGGTGTTGTATCCTGAGAAGAGGTGTTGTCTCTATTTGAATAGTTGAGGACTTGCTCACTATCTTGGCACATTCTTCCTTCATTCGTTCTGTTTTAGATGTGATCTGTAGTGGTGGCTGTCGTAAATTTTGCGTTACTTCCGGTCATTAAGGAATTTTGTGGTGTTCATCTGCAGGTAAATAGTTGCAAGGATGAAGTACATAAATTGTGGGTTAAGACTCGCATGTTTCTTCCGTTAAACACACGAAGAGGAAGCTGTACGACTAGTTCGACTTTCGGATAAAACTACAATTGAGAAGATCTTCTATGTAAGCCTTCACTTCGATAAAGGGACGAAGCACAGGAACGTACTTTGGATGGGTGTCTTGTCATTCAATTTAATCTTCATTTTAAGGCTAGGGATGACCCAAATATCATCGTTGTTCCGCGAGAATTTATCTGCTTCTTCTAATAACAGTTGTGACGCAAGTTTTCTTTGTTCAGGTTTCAAATCGCCTAAATCTACAGCTTTCAAATGATCTGACAACTCTATGGGCAGTGGTTTTCTGTAACCGAGTTGATTTTTAAATGGGGTGACTTTGTTTGAGGGGGATGGATGATTTAACTTATCTTTTAGATCCAACTCTTCTGGACAAAGAGATTGAACTATCTTAAGAAGACCAGGGATAGTATGCCCTTTTAGTCTGATATCATGACCTGTCGTATTTCTCACTTCTATGACTATCTTTCTGATGTTCCACCTTTAGCCATCACTAAGATATTTACTACTTCTAAACGATGGGGTAATTCATCCTCCTCAGATCCAAACGAAACAGGAGCAGCTTTCGTAAGGGACGCAACATTCGCCCTACAACTAGTTTTAATGGACTGTCAATGCGGACAAAATTTTCTATTGTTTTCCCCTTTTTTCTGTTCGTTTACACCCACACTGTTCACATCACACGCACTGATTTTAGCAGAACTCATTTTGCTTAAAACTTTATTCTGGCGTTCATATTAGTGGGAATCCAATCCATTCACGTGATGTATTAGCTCTTCGTCTGATAGTGCAGACAAACGCTAAATGGTCTTAAATTAGCGGCTAAATTATCACCATGCCAGCCAGCCTCAAAAGATTTCATGAAGGTTTATTTAATTAAATAAGTGGCTCAACGAACTATGCTTCACAATGGGAATCTACACGCAAAAATGACCTTATTACGCAAATCTAGAGAGCGTAAGGAGAATTGTTGCGGCGTTTCTTTGCTTCTGGAAAATAGTGGAAGATTTTCACGGTAATGTACGCGTAATATTTTTAGTCTTTGCAAAGACAAATCTTACAGCGTTTCGACATAGCTTCGTAAACTTCTATGTAAAGAAATGGCTCAAATTAGGGTATCGACTATCTCTCTTCATAATTGCGTTTTATACCTGAGTGGATTTGGCGGGACAACGAAACGAATGTTGATTTGTCTTGGCACGGCTCGCCAATTTGACCAGAGATTTTGAACTAGCGCCGCAACATGTTGATTTATGACATCAACGCATATCTCGTTGCAATATCATTCACACGTCATTGTCTTTTTGAATTGACTTGAGAATAGCAATCTTACTCATGTTAGATGCATCCTTAATCCTTTACTATTTTAATTAACTCAGTGAAATCCTTAAGTTCCGCTTTGCTTTTTGTGTAAACCAATACGCTTTCAGTTGAAATTGGAGAGTCTCGATCTCTTCCATATTTTTAACAATTTATAGCTAGTAGTCACAATGATAATAATATCTTTTATGTTAAGTCTTTTTTTTACTAGAGCGCCTTTTTTTTACCTCAAACCTAACAGAATTGTTCATAACTTCCGAAAATTCTTCAAATACAATGAAACAAGTTGAACGATCAAAGCTAGAGATGGTGGTCTGTTGATTCGTTTACCTTTACAGCTTATTAACTGCATATACCTCGGGACAAACTCGATCAGGGACAAAATAATCATGATGCTGGCATCCTGCTGTGGTTGCTAAAATGCTACCTACGTTTCTTCGTCGTGCCAACTGGTGTTCATTATAAGGAACTGTTATAGCCACGTTTCACTCAAACATCCTTTGTTGTGGTTAAAAAACTTCTAGTTTTACTGAGGTGGTATGTACATTACATGTTTGTAAATGTAGATCGTCCAGGTTGGTATAGTCCTGAGAAGTACTGTTTTGTTGTTGTTGACTAACGTTTCGACGGCCTTAGCGGTAGTCATCTTCATCGTATGTACATATTGATCTAACTTAGTTAACATTTTCTTTTCTTAGTAATATAACACTCAATCGTATCTCCTTTACTGCTGTATAAAAACATGTGTATTGTAATTAAATACGTCACATTTTACACTATGACGTATGCACAATGTAACATTTTCACGTGAGTACGCATGAAAATAAGTTGGACGATAAATCTTATATTTGATTACTTTTGTATCGAGTTCTCTACATTCTACTATGCGTTCAAATAAACCACAGTTTCATAAAAGTCCTAGCTACCTGAGCACAAAGAGCAGTCAAAAAGAAAAAAATACAAGTAACGATAGCCGTTTGCATTCTTTTTCCAAGACTATGGCCTACTCCTAATGCAGTTCTTTACATATTGAAAAGCTTGTGAAAATTATGAAAACCATCTACTTGCTCACAAGTTGCACAATTGAGAAAGATAGCATGATAGCAGTTTTGAATATGTTCAATCCAATCAAACTGCAAGCTCGAGTTAAAAGTTCATCGAAATTGATAGCTTATAATTTTGCGAAAACGGCTTTGACTTTGGAAACATTTGAAATTAAATGCAAATGTCACAAGTTGATGATAATTTGAATAATTCGGACAATTGTTTGTCGTCTATGTGGAAAGGGATTAATTAGCTAGAAACAATCATCGAACACTGTCGAATATTTCGAAAGAAAACCATGACCAGCCGACAATTTAAAAGAGAGTAAATAAACAAAGAAAGAAGACATCTTGGGAAATATGAATCAAAACAAGACGAGGACTGTAAATTTTCGACTTTATTTAAAAGTCCTCCTCAGACAGAATCAGTCTGAGGATGACTTTGAAATAAAGTCGAAAATTTACAGTTTACTTCTCGTCTTGTTTTGATTCATATTTTGCAATCTCAAGATGTCTTGTTTCTTCGGAATTTGTTTTATATTATATTTCGAAAGAAATTTTGTGAACTTTCCAGCTGTTGCATTGGCATTACTGCTAGTGAGCTCTGCGTGTAAAATGAGTGTGATATTGACTTTGTGTTTGCTTTTGGCGCTGCGATATCATTTCCAATATTGAGAACTTAATTTTTAAGGACCCTTGCTAATTTGAATGTAATGAAAGACAACATACATTAGCTCCTTGTTTTGTAAGAAAGTGTCGGATTAGTGAAATTTCCCTAGATTTATACATTTCTATTCACATTTCATATAAATATATATATCACAAAGTGTTTTCTGCGCGCTATCTTTACTTATATAGGTAACTATTAAAATTTGGATCTGTAGATATTGTACAAAAGACTTTGCCAAATGACGAACGAGTTACAAATGCTTTTCATTTTGGCATTTTGTTGTTGAAAGTGTGAGAAACTTATCAATCAAGAAATTAGTAGGTTTCAGTGTTAAAGACATGTGTATAGTTTTGCAACATTTCGCAACTCTTTGTTCACCTCCAAGTTTGTGTTTAATATACCGTAAAATTGTTCTCATGATGTACGAAAAACATTTGCCATCTATTTTCGTTCTAAACGGTGAGAGGCAATGGGTATTCCCTGCCATTTATGAATGCTGCTGTTTCCTTTGTATCTACCATGTTATTGGCAGTGATAAGAAACAAATAAATAAATAAACAAACGCAATAACGCCGGTAAAAACACCTGCCCGTATATTTCGCGCTTCTGTGATGCGACGTCTTGAAGATGAAAGCGATTATTTCACTATTTAAGCTAATATAAAAGCTTAATGGAAAAACCCGTCTTACCTCTTCTTGCGCTTGAAAAGGTGCACGACTGAAATAGAAATAGAAGCAAGTATTAGAGGATTTGTGCCAACGAAAATTAGACTTAGTGAAATTCTGTCAATACTCACTGTCACGAAGATTAGCACTGACACATAAAAGACTGTCTTCCACATTGTCTGTTTTCAGTTTTCGTCTTTTTCATGTATTATGTATTTGTGTCCGTGTAAGATTGCAGACAACCGGTTCGTTTTGCGTCGTTGAACCCTGAGAGCCTTTTTATATACTGAGCCCTTACCACTGTGAGGCTAGCTATGAATAAATTTGAAGCTTTTAAAATATTTAATGACGACACGAGCACGATTGGCCAATCCGAAAGTTCTATTACGACATACTTAGAACAGCTGTGCTTCGAAAGCCTTTGCTATCAACTTTTTTCGGTGCTTTTTGACATTTTCTGATTTTATTTCCTGAGGAGTCTCAAAAATTGTTGGCAACGTTAAATAAAGCTAGTAATCCTTCTCGCTGAAAATATAAGAGCTCTATTGAGCAAAAATCGTGTTTCCCGTTAATTGTTTCAACTTCTTTACCTTGCAATGGAAAACCTACCACTGCGTTATCAATTACGCTTAGCTAAATATTTTTCTTAGATATGTAGCCCATGCAGCAATTTTGGAATCTAGTAAATAACAAATAACAGTGTTTCGAGTCAAGCAAAAGCGGGAGGGGATCATTTCCTAAAAACCGTGTTATAATTGCGGATGGAATTTTAAGTGTTTTGATTCAGTATGCCCTTGACTGTATTGGCATTTTTACTAATGGCCGACAGCGAGAAAAGAGATGGGTTCTTTGACAGACAAAGTGACGCATTGATTTACAGCCAGTTAGAATTTTGATGTTTTTGATAAAATCTAAATTAGCACCATGTTAAAAAATTAAAAATGTGATGTATTCGGTTACCAATTTTAAGTTTTGTTAATGTCATGATATTGCTCGTCTGTGTTATTTGAATGCATCGATATTCGAGAGAAAGCTCTCTTTAAATCATCATGTAAATTTACACAATACCATTGACTTCAAGAGAATTTGATCATTGCGAGATTTCTATAGTCAAAAAGACGATTTTAGGAAATTTTGTATTTCAATCTTTATTCTATCATTTTACATCCAATATATGACCTAAAAGGAGGGCGCTAGTTTAAAATAAAATTCTTTTTATAAGTTTTTGTAGCATTGCCGAATTGCTTTGTGGTCTAATTGAACAGCATTAGAACTGTGCAGTGCCCAATTGCAATGTGCAGTTTAAGCTACTTGAATTACGTTTGCGTTTGCGTTGCTAATTTAATGAAAAATACAGTAAGCTTGTTTTCTCGTTTTACATGGTCTTTTCCTTTGCACTCTTTCTCATCTTCACTTGCTTTTCGCTTTTGAGCCCTTTTTAGCTCAGTTGAGTTGAATTTGTTTCTGCATAACTAATGGCAGGAAGCTATATTTTGGATTAAAGAACTTTTAAACCCTAAATCATCATCCAGTTTTTTAGGATGAAATTTATAAGTAATCTCATCTAGATTTTGGAATGACTTAATGCCTTTAGCTTAAAATTTGTATCCTGCTCCGACATAACTTATTTTGTAATTTACAGGACATTAGAGACGCTCGTTTCTCTTAAACTTCTTAATACAGAGAGTTTCCAATTTACAGATTGTAGTGACTGAGGATTAGCCATACAACAACCTCTAAAGTATATAAAAAAGTTAAGAAAATACGAGTCTCTGCTGTGACAGTTAGTATGCCATAAAATATCATAGCTTATTGAAAGGTAGTTAGAGAAAATAAGGGATAAAATATGTTTAACGAGTATCAAGATCGATTCCGGTGAATTAAGAATTGACCAATTTTGATAAAAAATGTTTATTTTACCGACATTTCATAAAGATAATAGATGAAAGGAAAGAAAAGAAATGACCACATGCAGAAATGTACCATTGAAAATAAGTACATGTAACGAGAGCCCTGTAGAGAGAAATGAAACATGTATTGTTCTCTGTATTCTGCAAGATGTTTGAGTGAATATGGTTAAATAGGTCGCTCGCCGGCATGTTTGTTCCTTGAGCGCAATACAAAACTATAGTTTAACTGAATTAAATTAAAAAGTTCGGTTTTATGCTGTGCTCATTATACCTACTGAAGGAACAAAGGGTGTAAAACGTACTTGGTCCCGAGTGGCAAAAACAGTATCGACAAGAGTCAAAATGGCTCTGTGCAATTAAGAAGAAAGATTTCAATTCACTCACTCAGCCAGACTGCATTTTACAGTCGTGTATGTCGAAGTATTTATGGGACTTTTGATTTTGTACTATATTTTAAATAAAAATATCGACGTAACGTCTACTATAATACATATAGGACACTCAGCTTTTCAGGCATGCTATATAAATGCTGTTCTATTTTCACATTTTGAAAATAAAATTTAATTTTACTCAATAGAATTATTGATTGATTACTTTTTTCAATTTATTTGTATCAAATAACTTATTTAATACATGTAAAGTGTATAGGGTGATCTGAAACAGACACAACATAAAATGTAAATTATCTATGTTAACTCTTATTTGCAGTTTGCATTCATATAATTTCATACAGGTAGTAGCTTACTTCTTCCATGAAAACTCTTGTGATGATAATAATTAAGATTAAGAAAATCAACATGATAAAACTGGCACATGAACAGTCTTAAGGATGAAAATGTCACAATGGATATATAAAGTGGTACTCAAGCAGTTTTATGAGTTTGTTGTATCTTGCAAATTTTCAAAAATGTACAAATGCTGTTATCCAATTAAAATGCAAAAAAAATGCAAAAAAATGTTATCCAAAAAAATGTACAAATGCTGTTATCCAATTGAAATCTAAATCATGCTAGATGTTGCACATTTGCCCAAGAATTGTTGAACCACTTGACCCAGAAAAAATTTATTTGCCTCACGAATAATGGGTTTTGTGATAACAAGCTAACCAGGGATGCTGTCGAAAAGAGCTGGTGGACCATGATACTATTTATGTCCTGACAGTAGGGCAACACCAGCATTTCAAAGCAATAAAATCTAATATGCCTTTCAACAAATAATGTAACCATTGCTATTTATAATAATAAAATCAATACCTGTTTTGGCGTGTCTGCTCCATTAAATTCTACTCTTTCACACGCATTTGCTCAATGTTAAACATCATGGGAAAATTCCATTCTGAAATTCCGATTACACAGTGGCGATTAAGTGTTTCACTAATAAACACTTGAAATTGAGCAAAATATGTAATGAACAGGCTTAATAAACAAGCAGATATTTGACTCTACGTTATTTTGACAGGTGAGGAGAAATAAATTATTTGAGTGTTCTTCAAAATGTAAAGAATAACAGCATGAAATGTATTTGAAAGCAAAACGCTTCACTCTCTTCTTTAATTGACGATACGGATTTTCATTTTAAAATTGGATCATTTCACGCCAGGAAAGTTTTTGCAAAGATTGCCAAGCGCCTGATAGAGAGACTAGAAATTTATATTGCACTTTAGCAGGGATTACTTTTAATTGGACAATTTAAGACAAATTGACAGCTTAATTATGTACAAATAATATCGAATTTGTTTTAAATAGCTCTCCCCTTAGTGCATAAATATTACTGTATTGTTTTGTTTGCCTTATTAAATCCACCAGGATTTGCAAAAAAATCGCACTACTAATGCACTCTCAACAGATGTGGAACTGCTGTTTTATGGTGTGGTGTAGTTTTGACAACAAACTGAACAAGTCCAACGATAGCAGTTTAACTACCCGGTAAGAAAAATAATAAGTTTTGCTGTCGTCCTGTTAGAAAATGAACGTAGGGCAATTTATAGTGAAGTGTATCTCGTTCATTCGGGGTAATTATATGATAAACTTGCAAGTAAATTAAAATTAAAGTGAAGAAGCAAACTTTGTCCATTGTAGCTGATTGAGTTCATGATACCCAAATTATCTAAAGTATGTGTGAACGTATGTGTTCAGCATTTCTGTACAAAAATCAGCTAAAGAAGAAACGATATAATGCTTAATATAAGAACCGAAGAAGCAAGTCTAAGTCAGGATCGGAGTTAACACGCTAATGTGGGTGGCGGTGGTGTGTGATTTATAATTAGTTGTGCTCGACTGACGTCTACAGAAAGCCAGTTCACTTTCAGAAGAAATCAGTCGAGCACAACTTAATATGTGAATATACACAACACCACCCTTTATAATCAGCGTGCTAGTGTAGGCCCTAATCTTAGTTCAAGTGCATTTTAACTCTAGGTAGAACTAACAAAGCACTTCAAAGTAGAAAGGACTTATATTAAGCGCAAGGTAGCACCCCCAACAAGCTCCTGATAAAGTCTAGTTACTTCTTTAAAAACTTACTTTGATTTTCAGCTCCCGTAGTACTGATCATATAGATGAATTATGAATTGTTTGTTAAAGCCATCCTACACTGCCGTTTATGACTCATTATGACTCCAATCTCTTCATGAGTGGTGATCTGATGTTGAGTCTTAAGGCCTCGTATGCTTCAGTCAAGTGCCTACATCAAAAGTGATTTGATGTTGAAACCTGAGTCCTATATATACTCTAGTTCAGTGTCTTCATCAGAAATTATCTAAAGTTAAAACTCCTGTCCTTATATAGTTCTATCTAGTTCATTCATTACAATTGTCTATATGTCATATGTCATAATTCTATCGTTGTAAAAAGAAAATACCGAGTCGTCCCTATGTCAGCAATCAGGTCGTCATTTAATGGTTCTCATATTATTGGAACTGCTGCTTCACGAAGCAGCAGCAAATGGTGACGATAGACGAATTGAAGAGCTTCAATCTTTCATAAAACGTGGAACGATTTTGATCAACGTAACTGACGAAGGATGGGGAAATAGAACTCCATTGCATTGTGCTGCTGAAAGAGGTGAGTACCTTAGTTAAATTTAAATTCTCCTCCTGAATTAACCCTTTAACTTCTCTTTTCCTCCCTTCTCTTCTATTAGTGCATATTTTTTTTCATAAGGAAACTCGAGGTGTGTAAAGCTACTGTTGGAATCGGGAGCAAATCCTTACTCACGAATGACTGGAGGCTGGACACCAGCCCATTGTGCGGCTGAAGCTGGAAAATTTGACATATTAAAAACTCTAATACACCATGGCACTGAGATCGGCATTGAGGATGATTTCGGGGATAGCCCTCGAAACATTGCAGAAATTTATGGCCATGAAGAATGTGCTCAACTATTACAAAGGTGTGCAATGTTTACAAAAAGAGCAAGGAAATGACTAAAAACATAAGTGTTGTCTTTGTTTTCAACTTTCACTTCTAAAAGAATGCTTAAATCTAGTAGTATTTTTTGTAGAGCACAAGTGAGCAAAGGACTACACTGGCTCTCATTCTTACAATTCAGTATTTTTCATATGCATTTAGTACAGTGGATAGCAGCCAACCTGCTTTATTTATCCTGCTAAACAGTTTTTTCGTTCACTAACCGAGAAAACGTAAAAAACAAGTAGTGAATTGTATATAGAAACATGTAATAATAATGTCCTGAAATTTTCATCAAAAGAAAACATTCGCAGATAGCTACCACACTGGTTGAGTATTGAAATTGGGAAAAGCGATCAGGATGTAACATAATTCTTATTGTATAGTTTTAAGAAATTTGTGTCGTTATGAAAAGCGCTAAATTTGATTAAAATCAGTTATACTTTTTCAATCAAGTGTTGTTTGGTGTTTTCATCTTGAAATTGTTACGAATGTTAATTATTTTAACAGAAGCCGATATGTTTAAAAGCAAACAACTATCAAACACTTTACAAGTCGACTTTGTCGAAGATAAACACCAAGGAATTTCGTCAACAAAGACCTGAGTGTTATTGTTTCACTGAAAATTTTAAAACAAGAGGCAATGAAGAGCTAAAATGTTTCAACACAAAATTTGGATGACCAAGGGCCTTCCAACCCGTTTATTTAGTCTTGCTTTGCAAACTATGCGATGTACACATCATAACAGTAGTTTTAAAATGAAGTGCACGAAACTCTATTTTGGCGGTGTTTGCTCAGGTATTGAGAGTAACTTTTGTCAATAATAGAAATTTTAATATCATTTAAAATATTTACAATATTTTCCACCTCATGTTACAAACTCATCTTCATACTTGTCAATATTAGTTCTTCCTGTACAGGGTGTACAAAAAAAAGGAACCTGAATAAATATGTTGATCGCTCGTTTTTTCTTATTTTAAACGTTTAGTAAATGAAATTAAGCGAGGGTGTTGTTTAGGTTTCTATTCTTGACGACGTGGGGATGGCCGTACAAACGAGATGAGATTTCAAGCGTGACGTCACTAAAACTATATCTGAAGATATAGAAAGAATTATCGACGAAACTTTGGGACATTAACAATAATTTAAATGAAACGTGACAAGAAAAATAAACGCAAAATTGGAAGAAAAATGAAAATTCGAAACCTAAGGCGAAGTTGAAAAAACTTTTGTTGAAGTAGTTACGCCAATGATTCAAAAAACCGAAGGAATATCGATGCATCTGTTTCCCAATGAAGAAAGAAAGCCGCAAAGACGAAGAAAATTGGTATATTTTGTACGAAAACATCGACCAGCTTTGAGGCTTCCTCTATTTCGTGTCTCTGTTCTGCACATTTTGAGGATTCTTGTTTTGACCTTAAGTTGAGCGTGCAAGTAAAACCCAAAAGAAGATTGAAGAAAGATGCTATCTTAACCGTTGATGTGGCCGGGATTCCTGAACCATCTAAGAAAGAGACGACGGATCGAAAACGAAGACATATTTTATCGGTATGGACGACAAATATATCTGTTTTTTGAAGTTTTTTAGCAGTTAGAGTTAAAGAAGAAAAAGGTCTTTTCAAGCAATGATTTATCCTCATTCTGTCTGAGGATGACTTTGAAATAAAGTCGAAAATTTACAGTTCACTTCTCGTCTTGTTTTGATGGATATTTTGCAATCTCAAGATGTCTTGCTTTTTCGGAATTTGCTTTATACTATATGTAGCCATAACACATTAAGCAAATTTCAAACGTGTATTACCTTTAGGGAAATTTATCGATCACTCTTTCTATGTCAGGATTAATCGCATTTAAAACTTTCCTCTACCATAGTGCTCCTTTGGTAGGATCATAGATTTCTCAATGCTGAAATTGATCTCTCACATTCACATGAGGTAATTGGTAGTGTACCAAAGTGCGAAGAACACATAAATATTTTCAAATCCTGGAAATGCATTAGTGTTTTGACGATTTTGTCTAGCAAAGGCCCATTGATCGTTTCCCAGTATGAACGCCATTGCTTTAATTAAGCATTTTAACCAAGGGGATTGGGTAAGTCAACATGATAGAATTTTGCAACACTCTCAAACTGTTCTTTCCAATCAATGCCTTTGTCAGACAGAGTCATCATTTTGACGGGAAAAACGATAGATAATCCTCGGTACACATTAACACTATCCAAGTTAAACCTAGTGCTCAAAGATGTTTGAAGTTGGTCTAATAAAGGAGTAGTGATGGTTAGTTTATAATGTTCTTTGAATGATTGACTGGGGGGATTAGATGGCATAGTTTGTCTTCTAACAACTCGCTTTTTTGTTTCTTGAACATTGACCTCTTCATACCAACTGTTATAATAAAAATCAATGGTTTTCCTCATGTTGGCTATATCAATCTTCAAAGTGGTTATCAAATGAAAACCATCCATAAAATCAATAGATTTTCCTGCAACAATTGCGTGACTTGAAGAGTAGCATCAAGAACGTTTCTCGTTATAACTAGGACAACAATAAAATGAAATTGAGTGACTAATGAAAGTAACTGAGAAGCATCAACAGGATAGAAAGGCTTCACCTCTTCGCTTAAACTGTTTATTATGTCCTGAAGAGTGTCGATTAAATGAATCAACAACTGTTCGAGCGCATCAAGACAGTCAACTCGCTCAGCCCATCTGGTTTACAAAGACTTGCCAGTTTTGCCTTCTTGGTCTGAACATCCGACTTTTTTTAACGTGCTCAGCAAAGGGCATGTTGCGTGTCTGTAATATGTTGATATAATTAGTTGCTTGAGAAACAACAGATAACATGTCATTAATTTCAACGTTAGAAAGAGTGTCACAGACAGACAAATTTAGTTGATAACTGTAACAGTGAGTGTAAAGAGCTTTAGGATGATTGTTCCTAAAATGTTGGCTGCTAAACCATTTATATGACTTGAAACAGCCCCTGCATATCATAACCCTGTAACCCATAGTTGGTAAAGCAAATTTCTGTAGAGTTTCTAAAATAAGCTTTGAAAGTTGTTGACCACTCAACCCCCATTTGCAATGTAGGAAACGCATGAACTCTACTCTAACATTCATTAAAGAGTCAAAAATCAGTAGAACAAGGGGCAATTGCTCTTAGTGAGTAGAATCAGTAGCTTCATTTGCAATGATAGAATAATATCTATTTTTTATCTCGTTTATCACATCTTCTGATATTACCTTACCAAGGCAATTGATGATTTTGTTTTGGCTAGTCTTGGAAATATAACTTTTAGTCCCGCCACATTTTAGCAAATGATCTTCAAAAAATTTTGATCACCAGCTCTAACACTAAAAGTTAAAGATTCAACAAAATTACCAACATTGCCATTGACTGAATAACAACCAGCCTTTGGTGAAATTTAGCACCATCACCATGACCTCGTAATCCAATGGCAAGCATTCCACAAAAAGAACTGTATCGACAATTTGTTTAAGCTCAATTTCAAGTTTCATGTTGGTATCTAAGATATTTTCAATGAGTTGAGCTAAACCTGACATTTGAGATCATTTCCCCCCATTACAAGTTCCAGCATGTCGCTTTAAATGTACCATAAAATATACACCCAGAAGATGAAGGCCAATGCTATATTAGATACAAGCTGACCGGACACTGGTGCAAAAGTTATTGTTCTACCAAAATCCCAATACAATAGTATTAGTTGACACAAAAGCCAAGATTAAAGCTCAAGAAAGTAAATTCAATCGCATATATTGCAACTGATATTCTCGTTGTTGGAAGATGTATTTCGCAACTGACCTACAAGAAAACGTGCGATGTACACGTCCTGTTTATTGTCGCGGAGACAACGACACTTCCACTATTAGGACTTCTTACTTGTGACAACTTGAATCTAATCAAGCATGTGATGGTAGTATTCGCTAATGGCAAATTAAATTAGATGAGAAGAGCTCAAAGCTTTTGTGCTTTAATAGTCCGTTTGGACGTTATTTAAGTAGAATACATTTTGGTGTCTCACATGAATCTGAAATTTTTGAAAAGGATATTTCTTAGCTAAGTCCTTGAAGAAGTCAATGGAGACATGAACGCTCAAGATTGTATTATAATTTAGGCTGCCTTAAAGTTCACTGGGATAAAGGAACGCCAGAACCAGGAGCTAGGTGCTAAAGTCCCCACCTCCTTTTTTCCACACCAAAACAATAAAGATATTTAAACTGAGCTGAGGTTATTGTTTAGAAGTGTTTTTAAGAACAGTGGTACAAGAAAGAAATCAAAAATCAACGTTTCTATGTCTAAAATAAAATAGGAAATAAGTGCCAATTTCGCGCCACTCAAATAACATTTCTTGGACATGTTGATCTTATGCACCTCAAAGAAATATTTTGGTGACGTGCCTGTTCCTCAGAATAAAACTGAATTGCAGAGGTTTCTTGAAATGTGCAACTATTTGAGATAAAAAAATGTAAGGGTAGAGCAAGATCATCACTTTATTGGCCAGATCATCTTAAAAACATTATGTCTTAGACAGCAGATGTATCTTTGTTACAATCTAATGAGTGGTAAACCGTAGGCCGAGAGAGATGTGGAAGTCGGTCCTGTATCGTGTGAGTTAGTAGCTTCTTTGGAAAGGTCAGATTTCTTAAGTAGGAAATTGCAGATTAATTTATTTGAGGATATTTATGTGGCAAGATGGTGCATTGTTCATGGAATCAAATACTGCAAGAAACGTCTGGTAATCACGGGAAAGTCAGAAGACTCGATGCCCATTTTCAGCAGATTATGTACGTCATCGTTACTGAGGAAACTAGCGTAAAACTGGTCACAGAAGAATGGCAAACCGTTACATTTGACCGACACACTCATTCTTATGCCATTCCGCAACACTCTGCCCCGTCATGGTCTGTTGTTGCGGTAGAGGACTTGCACGATTACTATCCATACCATGCAGCAAAATCATACAAAGATGGTGACCCGCTGAGGAACGTAGTGCTGCA